AGGACCTTGACAAGGTGGAGGTGCAAAAAAGGTTTCCTTTTTATGGATGAGTCCAGAACTAATTCTAAAGTTGGAGGTCGCCCTCTTCAGACAGAGATTGGGAAATTTATTTTCTCCCTGAGGGTTGTGCAAATCTCTGAAGGTGCTGAAGGCAAAGCAATTAAATATTCCTAAGGCAGAGATAGATTGCTTCCTTTGCCTAATAAGGGTTTAGTGTTATGTGGTTGGGGTGTGTGCAGGCCATTATTTAATGGAAGACTTGAGGGGCTGAGTTGTCTATTTCTGCTCTTGTTTTGTATGTTCATATGTTTGTTTGTTCTACAACCCACTGATAAATCGGAGCTCCTCTAACTCTTGTGCATTTTTTCCAGTCATGTCTTCAGCAATCGAGTCATAGAGTCACACAGCAAGGAAACAGATGCTTCAGTCCAACTTGTCAATGCAGACAAACTTTCCCAAACAAAACTAGTCCCACTTACATGCATTTGGCCCATGTTACTCTAAACCTGTCCTATTCATGTACCTGTCCAAATGTCTTTTAAATTTAACTGTACCTGCATCTATCACTTCCTCTGGCAGTTCATCACACAAATTGCCTTCAGATCCTTTTTAAATCTTTCTCCACTCAGCTTAAAAATATGTCCCCTAGTTTTGAACTCCCCCACTCTAGGGAAAAGACCTTTGCTATTCAGCTTATCTATGCCTCTCATGATTTTATAAACCTCTATAAGGTCACCCCTCGAACTCCTACGCTCCACTGAATAAAGTCCCAGCCTATCCTTATAATTCAAACCCTCCAGTCCTTGCAATATCCAGGTAGGTCATTTCTGAACCCTCTCCAATTCGCAGCCTTAAGTTTAGCATTTTCTCCATAAACCTATCTGCCTCTCTTTCCTCTTTTATGACACACCTTAAAACTTAACTCTTCTTTCTACATTAGAGACATTCTGGAAAAGCAAGTTCTCGTTGATCTTTAAATGAAGATCTTATGTGTGTCATTATATGGCAGGAACTTAGATTTCTGGATCCATCAGTGGGCTATCCTGTACACTAATATGTGTGCATACAATTTAGACAAAATAGTTGAAGAACAGTGAAATCAGCTAGTGCGTTGAGCCATCTGTATGATAATGATACGTTTAGCGAAGACTGTTGTTTTGGATGTTGTAAAATGAATCCAGCTTTGAAAAAGCAGAAACACAATTTTGTTTTTCTATTTGTTCATGGGCCAGCATTTGTTGCCCATCTCTAATTTCCCAGAAGACAGTTAAAAGTCAACTACATTGCTGTGGGTCTGTAGTCACGTGCAGGCTGGATGAGATAAGGATGACAAATTTCCTTGCCTAAAGGAAGTAATGGATCAGTTGGATTTTTACAGCAGTTTACAGCAGCTACATGAGGCTAGACTTTTATTTATGGAATGCAAATTCATTATCTGCCATGGCGGGCATATCCCTAGAATATTAGTCTGGGAGTTCTGGAGTACTACTACACTACCGCAAGAGAAATGAAGATGTAAATTCACTGTATATGTTTTTCATTAGCACAAGACATTTCAAAGTGGGTTAGAGCAAATGAAGTACTTCTGAAATATAATGGCTGTTGTCATGTTGAAAAAGCACTAGTCTATTTGTCATGTTCATTGAGGCTCAGATATTTTCTGGAGACCAGGGATGATTCCCCCCCTCATCTTCAAAGTAATGCAATATAGGATCTTGTTCACTGACCTGAGAGGGCAGACAGGGCCTTGGGTTAGCACCTTGACTCCAAAAGGCACCGGCAATGACAATGTGGAACTCTGTCAGTGCTGCGAAGGATTGACAGCCCAAATTTTTGTGTTCAAGCCTCTGGGGTGGGGCTTGAACTTCCATCTTTCAGGGAATTTAACATAGCAATATGAAATGCCAGGGGAGAAATGCATTGGACTTTAAAATATAATTAAATGCGAGCGTCAATTTCCTGGGAATGACGACCACCAACAATCTGTCCTGGTCCACCCACATTGATACTATGATCAAGAAAGCACAACAATGCCTCTACTTCCTCAGGAGGTAAGGAAATTTGGCACGTCCGTAAAGACTCTTACAAATTTTTATAGATGGACCATAGAAAGCATCCTATCTAGGTACATCACAGCGTGGCATGGCAACTGCTCTTCCCAAGACCAAAAGGAAATATAGAGTTGTGCTCACAGACTAGTCAGTGGCTCAGTGGCTAGCAATGCTGCCTCACAGTGCTAGGGACCTGGGTTCAATTCCACCCTTGGGCAACTGTCTGTGTGGAGTTTGCACATTCTCCCCATGTCTGTGTGAGTTTCCTCCAGGTGCTCTGGTTTCCTGCCACAGCCCAAAGATGTACAGGTTAGGTGGATTAGCCATGGGAAATGCAAGTTTACAGGGAAAAGGGTAGGGGGATTGATGTGGGTAGGATGATTTTTGGAGGGGTGGTGTGGATTTGTTGGTCTGAATGGCCTGGTTCCGCACTGTAGGGATACTATGAAATCGGCCTTCCATCCATTGACTTCATCTATATTTCCTGCTGCCTTGGAAAAGCAACAAAAATAATCAAAGACCCCTCCCACACTGGTTTATTCTATTCCATTGGGCAGAAGATATGAAAGTTTGTATACATGTACGAACAGATTCAAGAACAGCTTCTTCCCCACTGTTACCAGACTTTAGATTGGACCTCTTTAATGTTAATATTGATCTCCCTCTGCACCTTCTTGGCATCTGTGACATGGTAACAGAACAGAGTGCAAGATACAGTGATGCACTTGTACAGTACGATCTGCCTATGAAGCACATAAGACAACAGGTTACACCATACCCTGGTACACATGACAACAGTAAATGAAATCAAATTAAAACAGAGCAAAGCATAATCCAGTTTAGTATCCTATATAACATGTAGCATGCCAGAACTTAAAAATAAATATGTAACTGTAGACACTTCTCTGAATCGCACTGTAGAAAATTTGAAATAATGGATGGATTCATGAGAACTGCTTTGTCAATGACTGGGTTATTTACTGACAAGAACTGTAAATACTCCTGGAAAGAAATGGAATGAAAACACCTTTTCTATTATCTGAATATGAATTATTCAGTCCCTTTCCTGTACGAGTGATGTACCTCTCCCACCAGTTTTTATCAGGAAGAACAGCAGGCAGGCTGCAGGATTATTTTTCAGAATGGCAGTGTGTTGGCACAGGCACACACTTGTCATGCCAAGGGTTTATGGGTCTAAAGTTCAACACATTCATATCCTGCGTCCATGAGGAATTGCTTGCTGGTAGAAGCCATTAATCCATTTAAAGTGGGGCTGATTCGCACTGCAACAAATGTTCAAATCATGTGATAAAGTCTATTCCTGAAACTCTGTTTGAGATGTAATCATCTAATCGATCAAAACTTTCAAAGACCTGAAGTGGCAGTCACAGTAACTTTAAGACTGTCAATGAGAAAATCACACAAAATGAAAGGCATGCATCTGTCCATTCTTTCCAGCATGTTTGCTGTCTGCATTTTTAACTTATGACTTACCCATTTGTTTGACGTGTGACAATTCCAGAACAGATCCCCAAGTTTGGTGACAATCAGTTGACTGTTGTTAACTTCTTGTTTAAAGTGGATGAAGCTTGAAGTCCCAGTTACCTACTAAGAGAAAAAAGCCACAAGATTCTATGATTTTAAGCAAACAAATGGAAATTTTCATTTGTACAGCTAACAATCTACAATATCTGCCTTAACCTCAATCTGAATGATAGAGTTTAACATAAGCTAAACATGCATTAACATGAAAACTGTGTCAAACACATCACAATACACATCAAATCAAGATGAGACCAAGACATTTCCGTCAAATTTCTCAGCAATCCACTCAGAACACTACCAATTACAAAAGTCCCTCTATCTCCCTGCCACATCTGTTCTTTCAGGTGTATATAGAGTCATACAGCGCGGAAACAGACCGTTTGGTCCAACTAGTCTATGCTGACCATAATCCCAAAGGAAACTAGTTCCACCTGCCTGCTCCTGACCCATATCCTCCAAAACTTTCCTATTCATGTACCTATTTAAGTATGTTTTAAACATTGTAACTGTGCCCACTTCCACCACTTCCTCAGAAGTCAATTCTGCATGTGACCTACCCTCTGTGTAAAAAATTTGTCCCTCATGTCTTCACATCTCTCTCCTATTACCTGAATGTGCTCCCTATGCTTGAAATTCTCCAACCTAGGCAAAAGACACCTACCATTAACCCTATCTGTATCCCTCATGATTTTATAGACTTCTATAAGGTCACCTCTCAACCTTCTACGCTCCAGTGAAATAAATCCCAGCCTTTCTTTATAACTCAAACGTTCCATACCTGGCAACATCCTGGTAAATCTCTTCTGAACCCTCTCTAGCTTAATAATATCCTTCCTGTAACTGGGCAACCAGAGTTGAACATAATACTTCAGAAGAGGCCACATCAGTATGCTGTACAACCTCAACATGACTTCCCAACTCCTATACTCAAAAGGACTGAGCAATAAAGGCAATTGTGCCAAATGTTTTTCTAACCACCCTGTCTACCTGTCATGCAAACTTCAAAGAAATGTGCACCTGACTCCCTAGATCCCTCAGCCCTACAACATGTAAGATTTCCGCTATTTTGAAGAAGAGTAGAGGATTTCTCCCTGAAATAATGGCCAACATTCATTCCCCCACCATCATAGCTAAAACAGACAGTCTGGTGACTAACACATTGATGTTGGTAGGAGCTAGTTGCACACAAATTCATTGGTGCATTCCCTAAACAACAAAGCTGTTTATGTACTTTTGGATGTCCTGTGCTTGTTAAAGGTCCTAGTTAAATCTAAATCTTCTTTCTATTGATTTGCCATTTTTAAATCAGTCTCCATGCTTTCAGCTCAGAGGATGCCCTGCAAATGTTAACATGCATGGAGTGGTAGAATGATTCACCCCTGTTTCTGTTTCTCCCTCTTGTAGGACTCGGAGTCCCTTGATACCTACATTCAGAACACTCTTTCAGCTCTCTATCCGCCATTTGAAGCCACTGCAGCCACTGTCTTGTGGCAGCTGTTCCATTTGGTGGAGAGGTCATATCGAGGGGACGGACTCCGCTGCCTGATTGACTTCCTCGTTCCTGCCAAGAGAATCCTGCAGTGCATTCAACAGGAGACATGTGTAAGTAAAGGCTCACCCCACAAAACAAGGACTTTCATTGTTGATGGCTCATGGAACATGGATGATAAAACAAGAATCTTGTATACAGCAATTTTACCCTGGCTAGAATAAAGTGGATGTAGTTAGTGGAGTCCTGTTAAATCCCGAACCAGTCATGAAGGATAGTGAAAAGTAATGTTTAAGCAGGTCTGCAATTTCAAGTGGTTACCTTCAGAATTAAGGTCTCCAGGCAAATTCCTTTCTTTCTAATAGAGAACCTTGAGGATTAAATATTTTGGAGAGATTTACTGAACAGAGTAATGATTTTGTTGAGGTGTAGGTTGGAATATACGGCTGTAGGTGGAAGGGAGTGTCTTCCCTATTTTGCCCGAGTTAGCAGCATATTGGTCCCTGAGGAATCAGCAAATCATGGGCTTCAGAACCACTCCACAGCATAAAATTTTGGTCCAGAATTCATTGCAGTACAAAGGGAATGCTGAATTGTTGAAGGTTCTGTCTTTCAAATGTGACATTAAACTGTAGCTCCATCTGTTCTGGCATGGCACTGTTTGAAGAACAAGAGGAGAAGTCTCCCCAGAGTTTTGGCTAATATTTATCCAAAAACCAGCCTCACTATTTGGCTGAGTGGTCGAAACTCGAGCGGTGTTTTTGTGCTGGCCCCCCTACTGTTTGCAGGATATATAAATAATTTAGATTTGAATGTGAGAGAGTTGACCAGTAAATTTGTGGATGGCTTGCAAATTGATGAGGTGGTAAGTGAGGAGGGTAGCCTTAGGTTACAGGAGGAGATAAATGGTTTGGTCAGATGGGCTGATCGGTGGCAATTAGAATTCACTCTGGATTAATGTGAGGTGATGCATTTGGGCAGGACAAACAAAGCAAGGGAATACATGATGAATGGTAGGGCCCTGGGAGACACTGAGGATCAGGGGACCTTGGTATGCAGGCCCACCACTCCATTAAGGCAGAGGGACAGATAGATAAAGTGGTCAAGGCAGCAAATGGTAGAGTTGCCTTTATTAGCCAAGACGTAGAATTTAAGAGCAGGGAGGTTATGCTGGAACTGTATAAAACATTGGTTTGGCCACAGAGTATTGTGCGCACTTCTGAATTTACATTAGAGGAGGGATGTGACTGCTTTGGAGGTGGTGCAGAGGAGATATATGGGGCTGTTGCCTGGGCTGGAGAGTTTTAATGGTGAAGAGAGTTTGGACAGACTGGGGTTGTTTTCCTTGGAGCAGACGAAACTGAAGGGAGTCATGTTGGAGATGTATAAAATTATGAGGGATGTAGATAGGGTAGACAGGAAGGAACTTTTCACCATGGTGGAGGGTTCAATGACCAGGGGATAAAGATTTAAGGTAAGGGGCAGAAGGTTTAGAGGGGATGTGAGAAAACCTTCTTTCACCCAGAGGGTGGTGGGAATCTGGAACTCATTGTCTGTAAGGGAGGTGGAGGGAAAAGCCCTATTAACATTTAAGAAATATTTAAATGTGCATTTCCAATGGCAAGACACTCAAGGTTATGGGCCATGTGCTGCAAAATTGCATGGAATAGTTAGGTGCTTGATTTTGACTGGCTCAGACTTGATGGACCAAAGGGTCTTTTTCTGTGCTGTAGAACTCTGTGACTCTACAACTTAAATAAATTATCTGGTCATTATCACATTGCAAATTTGCGGGAGTTAGTTGTCCAGAAATTGGCTTCTGCATTATCTATATTACAACAGTGACTATATATCCAGTTTATTTCTTTGGCTGTAAAGCTCTTCAGGACATTCTGCTCTATAAAGTTGGTATATAACATGAAATTCAGTTCTCTTCCCTGTTGCCTGCTTGCTATTCACTATTGAAAGAAATAAAGACTTAAAACATGGGTGGGGCATAGTGGCAGGTGGTAGTGAGGTGGGTGAGGAATACTAATGTCTGTCTGATTAAATTAGTTCTACCATTTTCGAAAAAAAAATTGGCAGCAGTTCTGAGCAGGTAGGAGTGGGATTGTCTGAACTGAAACCCGAGAATCAAGCTGGAAACAAAAAGCTTTTTAAAAGGTACTTTCCAAGATAAGGGATGGAAAAATGAGAAATCAGTATGGAAAGTTCTCAAATGCTGCTCAGTGAGGAACTCTGATGTATCTGACATAAAAACAATAGAGGCTAGAAACGTTCAAGGCTTTAAACAGCATCTAGTGGGAGAGAACTACAGCGGTAACATTCCTCATCTTTAACTGAGCAACATCTACGATATCTACCTGGTTTCAAAGATCGTCAATAGGAGAATAACAACATAAAAGAGTCCAAATCAAAGAACTTAACTGAATCAACCTCAACAGAATAATTAACAGTCAGGTGATCAATGAGCATGGTCTGGAACCTCTGCTGCTAGTGTGAGTTAGTAAATATAGAAACTTGCTTCGCAGGAGAGTGGAACAGACAGCAATTTGAAAATAATGATTGCACATGCCTTTCACATTACGAGGGGTTCAAAACCAAGAAAGCACTTTTGAAGTTTAGGCGCTATTTATAATGTCAGAGATACAGCAGCTAATTGGTGTTCAGCAAGGCCCCACAAACAGCAATATGATAGTGACCATAATAACAGCAAATGATCCACTGTTATGTAATTGGGGAGATCAGATACGATGTCAGAAAGAATTCCCCTTCTCTTCTTTGAATAGCGCTGTCGGGATCTTTGACAGACTTTTTTAATTATTCATTTGTGCATCGAGTGCTTTGCTGGCTAGTCCAGCATTTATTGACCATCCCAGAGGACAGTCAAGAGTCAAACTCATCGTTGTGGGTCTGGAGTCACATGTACACCAGACCAGGTAAGGGTTGCGGTTTCCTTCCTTTCAGTGAACCTGATGTTTTTTTTCCAACAATGGATTAATGGTCATCGCTAGACTCTTAATTCCAGATTTTAAAAAATTGAATCGAAGTTCCACTGTCTGCCATAGCAGGATTTGAACCCAACTGCCCAGAACATTACCTAGGCCTCTGGGTTAGTAGTCTAGCAATAATACCACAAAGCCATCGCCTCCACAGCATTTGGGGGCCCTGGAGATCAGAGCCATCGATCCCCACAACCCCTTATGCTCCCACTGGGTGAGCTCACAGGTGTGGGGAGTGAAAGCTGCTCAACGTTTGATTAACTCTCCCTGTAAGTCTCAAGGTGGTCCAGTTGGTGAAGGCAGCATGTAACCTGACCTGTAGAGTCAAGGCAAGATCCAGGATGAATCTGTTCTGTATCTTTTGATTCATCTTGATTGGGAGTATGGGTGCAACATTAATCTCAGTGCCTTTGGGTGGAGGGAAGAGAAAAATCAGTCAGGGTTCCTTGCTGCTGACCATTATGCATTGCCCCCTGCTGGAATAGAGCTGTAACAAGGGCTAGGTTCTGTGATGCCCTTGTTGTGGAATAACTCACTACCACTTACTGTCTGCACTTTCACACAAGTAACGACTACACAGATAATTTACTGGGAGCAGTCTGATACCCAGGGAGCTGTAGCCCAGCAGCACATTTGAGAAAGAAGAGGCAACAAAACATTTGCCAGAAATTGCATTTTCCTGGATAGCAGCTGATCTTCAAAAGGCTATCAGAAATCTTTAACCATTCACACCTGTTGAATGGTATTTCCTGACACTCCCCCTGAGGACTTACTTCTGAGAGTTGTAATGCTTTCAGGGAAAACAAGTTTATTGCAGCATTTTAGTGAGGAGCAGATTTTCAAAGGCTGTTTCATAGACCTCCTCCTGTAGCAGAGGAGCTAGCACTAACATATACTCTGTTAGGACTTAGACGGAGTTTAATTTATATAAATGTGAGGTGTTGCATTTTAGTAAGGCAAGCCAGGTTGGCCTTATACAGTGGTAACATAGTGTGGAGCTGGAGGAACACAGCAGGCCAGGCAGCATCAGAGGAGC